GTTTAGAACTTAACTCGTGCTCACCCATGGGCGGCGTTGGTGCGCAGTGTGCATAGTCGGCTGTGATTGTTTTTCTTTAAATAGGTTTTTCTATATTACGATTTTGTTTCTGCGACAACGAGATTCTCCTGGAAGGGATTGTCCTTCTCCGTTTTGGCTTTAACGACGCCATGATGGTGGTGGAAAGCATATTTGTACTTTTGCCTTTCGAGGTGATGAAACACCAACTTTACCTGTATTTGCATTATTCAATTCTTGGCATTAGGTAAGAACGTTCTCAATTATAGACTTGCCGGCTTCCACGTGGAGTTTCATTGCCCAATTTTGGTTTGTGGCTATCAGAGAAGACATCCTGTCTCGCCACTGGCCACGAATTGGTTTCGCTCAACCACCGATCATTGGATTAGATTTTGGTTATTCTTATGATCTCAACGAACCCACCAAGTCTGGTTTCCTACCCGGTTTCAAACTCCAAGACTCTGAAGGTGGAAGGAACCACAAGTCTGGGAACCTGCAGGAAGGCATTGACCACATGCCTGGCCTGTCGAAACCACCAATCTTCGAAGGACCCTTCATGAAGGATGGTCCTGGAGCCCTGAAGAAAGTAATGGGGGCTCAAACGATACCAGCATTTCCCGGTGAGCTCCACCCAAATTGTTATCTGTTCAGTTGGGTTCCTTTCTCACTTTCAGTATAACTCCACCAGTGTTCATTTAATTTCATCAATATTTGTGCCATTCACTGAATTTTCTGGTATTCATACTCAAAAGACAGGCGTGAATTGAGTTCAGTTTATTCTCCATATTTTCAAGAAATACAAGAGATTCTAGAATTATAAGATTGTTATGCAATGGTCCATGTGAACCACATGCAGGTGCTCGCGGTACCCATTGACTCCTCACTACATTTTTAACTAGGGATTGTATTTGAATAATTGCACACCAGTACTACTGGAATTAGAGTGTGATTAATTTGAGAAGAATCAAAGTTCACTCCCCATTCTTGCTATACATTTCAGTTAATAAACTACCTATGACTAAATATCACACTGTTCGGTTTTCTAATTTTTCTTCACATCAAATTTAAGTGGTGCCCCCTTTCAAAATACAAGAAACTGTTTATTCAACAACACTAGACCAACCCACGTCCCAATTCTCCAGATACTTTGGCTGCCGTTTCTTGACAACATCATTTTGCTGATTTTGGTATTTACTTTGGGTAAGTCTTCAGAAATACGAAAGGTGGTGACAATAGTCTAGCAAACAAAAGCCAGAAAGCACAATATGACACTCTCAAAAATGAATTCAGATTAGAAGTATTTCCATCATTATATGTGCTTTTTCAAGTAGCAATAACATTGCCAGTATCTTCTGCAACGTGTGAAAGGTCATTTTCCATAATGAGGTTAATTTTGAATTGGTTGAGAATTTCAATGGGCCAAGAAATATTCTCGTTGCTTGGCCTATTATTTATAGAGAAAGACATCTACATTGATCTCAATACTGTAGTGGATAGATATGCGGCAGGAGAAAGGAAAATAAATTTGTTATTAGTTAATCATTCCATTTTTGGTTTGTTGAATATAAACTAGCTATCTTTTGTTCATCAGAATTATTATTCTGTGGTAGTTCCTTTTGTGATATTTCAGACTCACTGAATCATTTCTTCTGATAACTTGGGGTAGTAGCCCCACCGAAATGTCCGAGCTAGTTGCACCCCTGCCTAAATCAAAGAAAAACTCCAGAATAAATGTAATGACCCTTTCGAAATAATCGAAACATATCTAAATTCACCAATGTTCGTGAATGGAAAAATCAAATGATAACCTGAAGTGAACTTTGACAGACTTAAACCTCATTTTGACCTGTGAATCTCTTTACAGGTTCATTCTGCTGTTCTCAGCAGCAGACACCCATTACACGTTCAAATCAACGAACAAATAAATAATACAATCGGAATATTTCATCACGACGAATCGACAGTCGAATTATCTGAAGGCGAATGAACACAAACTGTAACCCGTAATGCAAAGGTGCTCTCGACAAGAATAATCGGAGATAAGAATTATTGCTTGATTTATTCGATACACCATGGATTTCTACCAAAGATTGAATCCTCGTATGATATCCTTCAGAGGTCAAGTCGAATTTCATATGTTATCTCTCACAAATCTCTGACACTAGAAGTATCATGAAATATTTGCAGATATAAAACTCAGCCATGAAATTAGAAGAGGAATATTCTATTGTGTAGGTTCCTTTTGGAAAACCATCACTGGAAACTCAATCATTATCCAAAAATAATTTGCCTTCACCAATTTACCTCTCAACAGTAGCTCAATATCTAGAAATAATTAAACTCGAAGCATAACAAACTGATTCAAAAAATAGTTTTCTTGTTGAAAATTTGACTTGTTAAACCAGAAACCCCATTCCGACTATTTCTAAAGCCCATATTGGATCATAGAACCAAATTGCTTCACATTTTGTTGCAAATCAGAAATATATTTGCAAAGTCTTCGTCTCAAGGCCATGCGTGCATATATCTCGTGAAGCTCGTAGTTGCGAGCACTAAGACCTCGCCAGTGGAGATTGATGCAAATATTTCACAGTGCTGGTTGGAGGGCATTGTATGAGAATTTCTGCGTGGAATATCTCCAAGACCTCGCTTAGCTCATCCTAAGCAGAGAAAATTTGGAGGAGATATAGCGCCCAAGGCAATCTCTAGAAGAGGTTACAAAGGGCATCACAATTTCCTGGAAGGATATCTTCGAGATATCTATAGAACCTCTTTGTGCTGCCTGGGTATCAACTCAGGAAGACAGCTTCAACAAAATCCTAATATTCGTGATAAAGACTATACTTGAACAGAAACAAGAATACAGAGAAAAGAATTCAGTATGTTCTACTTTGACTGCACACTCAGAGATATTACAATTTTCGTCTTCAACTCAGACAGTTGTCCAATCCTCTCCTCTCTATCTATATAGTGTGTCGATTTGGTGAGTCCATTTAGTGCGTAATTCTTCGATATCTCGAAAGCCATGTCCTAAAGAGAAAAACTTTGAGATAAAAACTTCTTCAGTTACTGAAGTTGCTTTTTTCAAAAATATTTTCAATATCACTGGGTGTTCTATAAAAGCGGGAAGACTCGGAGACGAGTTTTTTTTTCAATGGAACACCTAGTATTGTTCATTCGGAATTTATTCCGCCGATCGTCACCTTCACATCGCTGTGAAAAAAATTAGAATCGGTTGCGGCGTTGCCAAGTTATAATTGATGAATCTATTTTCACCACTAATGAAGAGTCATGTTGAATTGGGCATGGTATATTCATTTATTCAAATTTCGAAAATATTCTCGGCAAACAGTGGTAGCAAGGTCTCACGTATGCCAATCCAGTAATTTTGCGACATGTTCTTCAACAGGATGCTCAATTTGGCATTTAGAATCTTGTTAGATTCAGATGACATTCATTAGCATCTTTCAAATTCAACAACCTGTATTTTTATTCATAAATTTCGCTTTTTTATCGCTGGAGAAAAATGAGAATCGATTGCGACGTTGTTAAGTTCTGGATGATTTCCTCATGTTCATGTCATAGTTCTTTCATTCATTTGTATAGTGGAAATATTGCGTTACTACGGTATAATGAAATTTTTTCATTGACCATTCATAAATTTTTTCACAATAGAAAGATCTAACAGCTCTCCAAGTTTGAATTGAAAACAGAGTGAGCTCTGACAAATTGATCCAAAATGCTACTTCTACAGATTTTTTGCAGACTATGGAATATTTTTTTGAAAAACACTTCCATCATTTGTGTCTGTCAAACATTTCCACAATAAGATATATCTTGAATTTATTCAAAATTTTGCTGAATACCCTCTCGAAACCCGCGTAGTGAAGAAATATTGTTTGTATCATTATGTAGAGTTTGTCTCCTTCAAGTTTAATGAATATTTGGATTGTGGAAATACCGAAAATGAAAGTGATCCAAATTTTCAAGAATTGTCCTTATTCTCGCAATCCAAATCTCCATTGTTTGTATTGTAGAAGTTGTTTTGAAGGCAGACGTTGCTTTCAGCAAGTTTGTTTGTTTCACATAGATACATATTATATTCAAATTATAGGTAACAAAATTACGGAATAATTCAATTTTGGACGATGCAAATTTCACAACCATACCTATTATGATATATGTAGAACCTCGAATGTCATGTGGCAAGCAATTAGATAGTGATAAACATAAGGAAATTACTCATAACTTGAAAACGCCGCAACCGATTTGAAATTTTTTTCCAGCGATCAAAAGGCGATTGATGTCGAAATAAATCTGTGATAGAAAATATAGGGTATACCATTTGAAAAATTCTAATGAAAGTCATCTGAAACTTACGATATTCAAAATGTGAATTTCAGCACCCCGTGAAGAATCATCTCGCAAAATTACTGGATTAGTGTACGTGAGACCTTGCTTCTATTGTATTATATGCCAAAAATATTTTCAAAATTTGAATAAATGGAATAACATACCCAATTCAACATGACCCTTCAATAGTGGTAAAAATGAGTTTATCAATTATACCTTGGCAACGCCGCAACCAAATCAAATTTTTTCACAGCGATGTAGAGCTTGACCTTAGCGGGATTAATTTAGAATAAAAAATACTGGGTGTTGTATCCAAAAAAACTCGTCTCCGAGTCGTTCTGCTTTTATAAAACACCCAGTATTGATGAGAATATTATTGGAATGGAAACCTTTGAAAAAAATTTCGAAAATTTTTCTCTATTGTTAATGGATTTCGAGATATCGAAATGACCACACTGTATAGGTAAGTCCGCATGACGAGACGAGACGACATCACTATATGAGAGTATGAATGTGAAGTATAGCTACCGAATGATCCATAACATTCCTTTGCATGTTTTATGGCAATTGTTTCATTGGTTACCATCCTACGTAATATCATTGATAATATACCTATAATTATATCTTACCTAATGATTTTTTACTAAGAACGCGTCTTATTAGTTCATCCTGGTGAGCATTTTTTATTATGGCAATATTGCTGTGCATATCTCGACACCGGAACATTGCTTCTTGCCACGTTGCCACATCTTTGCTGAAGTAGTAACACCTATGCCCCTGCCTGATGAATTTCGGAGGACAGACATAACTCCTTTTCACTGGTCTTCGTTCTGAAAGGTCATGAGCGATCGTTGCTGAAAAAAACAACAATAATCAAATTCGAGAAGATATGGCTGACTGACAGACCTTGAACTGAGACGATGCGGTCTGAAAAGGACCAATGTGAATGTGACAGGAGAAAGAGAGTATTTTATATTTCATTGAGAGAGCGTGATGATCGCTAAAAAATACTAACTGGAAACATGGCATAATGAGAGGTATCACTCAAGGTATGTAGATTATTCAAAATATCACAGTGAATCTCAGAAGGCTAACTTCTTTTTCAATAAACTCATGAGCGCTGACGCTATAATATTTCAATGTTACCAGAAAATCGTTCTCCACATCAGACTCTTGATATACGAGACTATGATCGGAACAGAGCAACATTTTGTCGAGATAATTATAATGGAAATAGTGGCTTAGGCGGATTTTCTAATAGAATAGGAGCTCTCTTGAAGAATTATTAGAGTGAATATCTCAAAGAGGTTATTTGAATTGAGCGTCCAGATTTCGAGTCCGAAGTGATTTTCAACCTATTTCACCCCCTTATATCATTTTCCGGAAATTGGGGTAGTTTCATGGCTGTTGGCGAGCAGTGTATATCACTGAAGATGACCTAATTTTGTCATAGAGTACATTCTTGGTATATCTCTCGCTCCAGCAAATTTCAGGATCCTATAACCCAACGATTACGTAAGATACGGGGGTGTATCCATGAAAAGTGAGACAGAAATTAATTTTTCAGAAAGAAAATTTTCAGGAAGAATATGAAGAGTTAGGGAATTGGGTGTCCTGATTCCGAATCCGAGGTGATTTTCAACCTATTTTGACTCCTTATATCATTTTTAGGAAATTGGGGTGGTTTCATGACTGTTGGCGAGCAGTGTAAATCACTGAAGATGACGCCACTTGGTCACAGAGTGCATTTTTGATATATCGCTCGCTTCCAGCAAATTTCAGGATCCTTACTCAACAATTGCGTAAGATACAGGGGTGTTTCCATTGAAAGTGGGACACACTGTATGTAATATATATATATATATATATATACAAGGTGTTTTTGGAATGAGTGCACATATTCAGCACATTTATATAATACAGTCTAAGGAATATTCCCATGATATCAGATTTTTTGTAATTCTTCTAATTAACGAGAAATTTCATCCCAAAAATTGAACTGAATACGAGAAAATGATCAAGTACGCCACTTTGAATCAATTTAAATCATTGAACTCCGCGTGATTGTGCCTACCGCATGGAAATTTGAACAGAGGTGACGTCAGATTTACTACAGTGTAGAACTTTGGGTGGAAAAAGGGGTCTAACCTCAAATTTTATTTTGATCCTTAAATTTGTTTCATTAGTGCCATTCGATGGTACACGTCGAGCTTTCTGAGTGTAACAACGTTGTTAAAAGAATAAAATTGTAAAATATATGATGACATACTGTGCAAAATTGCTTACATGCACACATAGGAGACTATCATTTGTATAATTACACTTAACAGTTACTTATTTATTGTCAATCTGGAATTTTAGAATTTGTTAAGAAAAAGGAGGGAAAAGTTGCAAGTTAGGTAAGAAATGTGACTTGCAACTTTTCCCTCCTTCATTTATGAAGTAGAAATACTTTGTTATTTCAAATGCAACACCCTGTAATTAGTTACATATTCTGACGTAGAATTTGATTTCCTTCCGACCTATATCATGGTTCCCTATACCTAAACCCAATACATTTCTAGAAATTGGCGATGTTATTTAAAACGGGGATTATAATTTATCATATTCATTCTCAAGTCGTTGACATTTGGACATGTAGAAAATATATCTGGTGGTTATCGTAATAACAGTTCTTAATGAGAAATAACACAAGAAAAAAACTTTTAATGAACGAATATATTGAAAACTCGTGGAAATCACCCATTCTCAAAGTGATCCAAGTATTTTCAAAGAAAACAACTCGACTGACTTGGAGATTTTTGTTCGTTTTCTTTGGATGAATTAAAGTTAATGCTCAAAATGACCTTCATTTTTTCCTATACAAAAAGGTAACCTTTTTTCGAAGGATCTTTCAACATTCAATAACATTTGTGGATTCACGGTTTGAAAATCAGCTGTTACTCTCTCCTTCATATTTTCAGCTGTTGTTGGCTGGGTGTGAACAATATTTTTTCTGTATTCCCATTGAAAAAATCGATACAGGTCAGATCCGAGGACATCGGTGGCCAATTTTGCGAACCGATTCTCCCTATATATCCATCTATTTGGGAAACGTGTGTCTAGAAATTCCCTAACATTCCGTTGGAAATGTGCTGGAGCTCCATCCAATCGTAACCACATCTGCTGTCTGATATTCAAAGTTACATTTTCAAGAAGTTCAGGTAGGTTATGGCGTAAAAGTCTGAGGAAATTTCGTCTATTCAAGATCCCATTAGAAAAGTAAGGACCTATTACTTGGGACCCAAGAATTCCCCCCCAACACGTTAACAGAAAATCTATGTTGATGATCAACTGTGCGGAAGAAATGAGGATTCTCATCACTATAATAATGGAAATTATGTCTGTTCACTAATGTCTTTTTACTAGCCATTGTTATGAACATTCGATCCATCAGAAAACGAAACTAGATCAATAAAGTGTTCATCTTCACCTAATCTGTCCAAAACCTAAACACAAAAATCAACTTGGCGATGAAAATCCATTTCATGAAGTTCCTGGTGCATCTGGATATGGTATGGATAGAATATATATTTTTAAAATATTCTTGATATGCTTTGTCTGCTGATACTTGTTTCTATGACAGATACAACCACGAGAAACTCATTTTCTTCATCATCTGCAATGGGTTTTATCGAATTCCTTCTCGCATAAGATACAGTTCCAGATCTCCGAAATTCTTGCAGTAATCGTTAAAATACCTTTCGATTCGGATGAGTTAGGTCTGGATATTTTTGAGCGTATACTCTTGACGCTAAAAGGCAATTTTCATGACACTCGCCAATTATCAGAAGCATATTGATTCCCTCTTCCATAGGATAAATCTTCGTTTTGATTAATTCGCCAGTGAAACTTCTCAAAATTGCATTATCAAACCAAACGCTTCCGAACTGTCAATTCGCCAATTTCTAGAAATGTATCGGGTTTAGCTATAGGAAACCATGATATAGGTCGAGAGGAAATCAAATTCTACGTCAGAATTTGTAACTAACTACAGGGTGTGCCATTTGAACTAACAAAGTTTTTCAACTTCATAAATTGTGAGTTTCCAACCATAATTTTGTTATCACCCTGTATGAATTTTGACATTGGAATATAAATGAAGGTATATTTCTAATCTTTTTCCAAAAAATCGAAGCTATTGCGAAGGTTCAAAATTATTTACAGGGCCAAATAAAAATTATCTTTATGTACCATAAAACTCACTAATTCTTCAAAAAATTCGAAAACGAAAAATGATAGGTATAGGGAACATTGGAGAAACTCGCCTCCATTTGTGCTGCGGAATCCGAAAAAGACAAAGAATATAGGGTGTTCCATTTAAAAAAATATATTTTCGATATGTATCTTTTTTATGGAACACCCTGTATATCTCGAAATAATTTGAAATTGTACATGGATAAATTCTCTATCTAGCCAGTCGAAAAAAATTCTAGGATATTGTATGGTTCTCCACAAAAAGACCGTGTCGTATACGATGCCCCCCCCCTTTATATACCGGGTGTCAACGAATCTATTAGACAAGTCATAACTTTTAGACCATTAGGTATATCAAAATGAGATTCAGCACAGGTGAATTGTATGTGAAGAGGAGAGTTTCCACATATTTTTCAGTTCCCGGTCACTTCCGGTTTCACCGGAAATGGCTCCGGTTCTAAATTTTTGAATGGAACATCCTGTATATTGTGACATTTTTGAATTTCTATGACAATTCTAGATCAGAATGTGTTATTTTTGAAAGTTTTCATGCCTACTCAATTTTTTCGGAGTCACTTTTGAAATTACATCTAGGTCTAACTATTATTTTTCAAATGGCGACCATTTTTTGACAAGCGTTTTCCGAAAAAAGGATATTCTGACAAATCTAACGATACTAATTTATTTGCGATTGGATCACAAATAATAGCATAAATCAAATATTACTGACGGAAATACTCCATATTATATCATTTATTCACTTTTGTCAAGTGTGCCATGGATGATAATTCATTTACTTGTAAGCACTTTCCGAAAAAAGGATATTTTGACGAATCGAACGATACCTATTTATTTGCGATTGGATCAACAAATTTAACAAAATTAACAGTAACTTCAGCGATGCACTCACATTTTTTTCAATTTCCTAATTTCCTAAAATTTTCAATATGGTAAATTTTCGAAGTGCATTCCTCTTTGTTTAAGACACATATTTAATATTCAATGTATGTTCTTATTTGTAATCCAATCGCAAATGAATTAGTATCGTAAGATTCGTCAAAATATCCTTTTTTCGGAAAGTGCTTGTCAAAAAGTGGTCGCCATTTGAAAAATAATAGTTAGACACGAAAATGTAATTTTGCCAACTTGTCTTATTCATATCTATCATACTTGTCAGTAAAACTTCGCGATTGTAATTCTCTGATATCACATGAGGTCCTTAGATTAGTTTACTTCCGATCATGGCCACATAGATGCAATTTTAAAAGTGACTCTGAAAAAAATTGAGTAAGCATAAAAACTTTCGAAAATGTCACATCCTGATCTAGAATTGTCTCAAAAATCCAAAAATGTTACAATATACAGGGTGTTCCATTCAAAAATTTAAAACCGGAGCCATTTCCGGTGAAACCGGAAGTGACCGGGAAGTGGAGAATATGTGGAAACTCTCCTCTTCACATACCATTTACCTATACCAAATCTCATTCTGATACACCGAGTGGTCTAGAAGTTATGACTTGTCTAATAGATTCGTTGACACCTGGTATATTCATGTATCACAAATCAATTTGTGGTCGACCCACTTGGTGTTGTTTTGTCTTTGAAAAAAGTTGTAGCACTTTGAGAAGGATGGATGGTTTCCATTACCTGAAGTTGTTATATGTATTATTCTCTTTGTGATCACTGAAATCATGGATTACGAAAACAAATATGAAAAACAAGGCGTTCCATTGAAAAAATGGATTTCTGGTTAGTCACGCTTTTCGAGTGACTAACCTTTAACATTCGATAAGAGCCGTATCGACGCATAGTTCTTCCTTGAAGACCACAGGGGAACAAGGGGGAATGTCACAAAAAGTAAGTTCCAAGAAAAACGCATTCCAAAGTTCAAAACTTCCTTACTTTTTGAGATTTGAAGAGAACTGAAATCTACGGAAGCGCAGAAGGGCCAAACTGTTTTAAAATTTTATTTTCCTAATGATTCCGACTTTAATCTCGGAATTCCGACTTTAATCTCGGAATTCCGACTTTAATCTCGGAATTCCGACTTTAATCTCGGAATTCCGACTTTTATCTCGGAATTCCGACTTTTATCTCGGAATTCCGACTTTTATCTCGGAATTCCGACTTTTATCTCGGAATTACGAGATAATATGCCGAAACTGCCTGCAATATCAGTAGAATACCACAATAGGCTGCAGCAAGAAAGTTCTTTCCTGTTTTGAGCTAGAGCTTCGGAAATTATTCGCCAGAATGAGTATTCCTGAATCGACGGTGAGTAAATGAATAGTATTTCAGTGTATTATGAAATCGAATTGCATATAAATCCTTATTTCAGAACCAAAGTACCATTGAGCTAGCCACACTATATTTTTCTATGGGATTTCAACAAAAAGAAATCATACAATTCGTAAAAGTTTTACATGGGAAGGTGTTATCGAACTTTGAAGAGGATGCTGTCCCATGCAAGATTATTCAGACGTGAGAATTATACAAAAATAGAAGATGTGAATTTTATCGAAGGCGAATCAAGCAAATCAGGCCAACTTCACGGTTACAAGTGGATGCATTTACGTTGCTTGCAAAATAATTTGGTTGTTACACAATATTGTTACGACCCTGGCGATCAATCCCAGCTACCTGCGATGAAAGTAAACAAGCCATATTTCTTGGAATAGTAATTAGGTGATTCGACGGCTATTGAGATGACTCGAGAAGATTATCGACCTGTTCACGATATTTCGAGTGGAATCTAGACGTTTTATTAGGTAGTATAAATAGTTGTTGTTATAGGGACAGGAAAGGAAGTCTTTATTTGGAAGCGTTATAATAACGATCGAAGATGTGTTGTGAATCGGAAGTGTTTAGTACGAGTATTGTTATTATTGTATAGTAGTGTACAGAATAAATCGTTTTAAGTGTTCTACCGAGTGTTAAATTATTACGGACCCAGAGTAAAATCGTAACAATATGTTGTTAGAGCTACTAGTTTGAAATTGAATTTTTATTCCAGCTAGACTTCAAGAGAGGAAAATCATCAATTTTTATTTCAGAAAGCATACTAGGTACAAAAATATACTGAAGAGACCAGGTTTTGATTCCCGTGTAGCGAAGACCAGCTGGTTAGGCCAATCTGAGAGTTTTCGCAATAATGACAGGTAAACACTTGTTTTGTATACTTTTATTTGCACTGAAATATTATTTATTCTAGTTTTAGTCAGCCCGACTAAAGATTTTGATCTTGATTTTGATGGAAAAATGGTTGGAGAGAACAGTAAAAACAAAACAATGATCTCCCATGAAAATGAATGATAACTTTTCTATGCATCACTTCCAAGAGATGAAATCTGCAGGTAAAAAGGAAATAAATGAAGGAGTTATGGAAGAAAACCATGCTGTGATCATCATGATAACTGGGAACGCCCTGTGTAGGTATATATTATATTTCATATTGTAATTTTACATATATTTTGAGGTTTGTTTAGTAATTTGTCAATGGATTGAAATAAAGTTTACATTTTTACTCCTTTTGTTTCACTGTTTTGAATGCCACTCCATGTGTTTAGGGGTATATTCATGGATTTTTTGATTTCAACATCTGAAAATCCAAGAATATATCCTAAACATTATGGTGTTGCATTCGGAACTGATTCAAATACTGGTGGAACCAGTATAAATTTATGGATGATTTGAGATGGAGCTAATGCAGAGCACAGATTTATCAGAAACGTCTCTGGCATGCTCATGAAGAGAGCTATGTAGATACATAGTCATCACTGTGATCTCACAGGAGCATATCTTATTCAAGTCTGATGTTGCATCACTGATATAAGTCTGTAATTTCATTTGAGGCGGACATTCATCTATGCTATATCTCTGATGGGAACATCTCTGTGATGAAACATGGAACATTTGAAATGCAGCAGGGATAAAGCTGCGGCATGTTTTGGTCAACTGGGTAGTTCAGTGTTCATAATTCCGTAATTCCATTAATAACTTTTCTGATATAAAATCATTCATCAAACATGTTCAAATTTCAATGTAGAATTTAATAATGCAATAATATACAGGGTGCATGTCCTATTTGAAAAATAAACTCCGCTTGCGCTGTTTTGAGAGACTCTGTACGAATAAAACTTGATGCATTGGAGATATTGACTGAAACCGTTCAACTTATGTTTCTAACATTTTTTTGTAATATCTACAATAAAGAAGTTACGAAGGGGGCGACGAACTTTTGGTCCTCACTGTATATATATACATATATTGTTAGGAGGAGGGTAGTCGTGACTGACTAGTTAAGGTAAAAATACAATAACTTTAGAAAAAGTTCCACAGGAAATCTTTCTAGGTGAGGTTGCAGTCAAAATTTTGGCCTTAATGAGAGGACTCTTTGTTACATAGCCGAGCTTTCGGAAATGTTTATTTCCTTTATCAAGACATCTATAAAAAATGGGTAAGTGAAAAAACTTTGTCAATAATACATTAAAAAAAAGTACTTACTAACGTAAGTCAGTCGCACGGATCTGACAAAGTCTCGGCCTGTCCATCCTGCTGGCTTCTGGTCTATCCAGCTTCTACTGGCGGGATCATCTGTGGAATTTTCGAGACCTTTCAATGTGGGCGCCTGCATTAGACGGTCTCACCACAGATGATCATTTGGAACGTCGCCTTTCAATGAGTTCAATCGTTCCATCAGTCCTCGCGTTTCAACACACTGTAGGACGGCGCTCAAGGATCGGTCGTCGACGTGGTCAAGAAGCCCGGTCAGGCGTTTCAGGAAGACGCCCGGAATAAAGTGTCGGAGCTCCAAAATCCCAAGGCCACCGTCCCTGATTTTGGCATGAAGTGCCGCGTCAGGGGTATGCTCATTTAGATGTAAAATATGTTTAGCGAACCGCTTTATAAGGCGGTCCGCTGATCTTAATATCTGGCCTGTGACCCTGGGATTCTGAAGCCCAAACATCAATTTCGGTATGATGTGCTCCTTCAAGACCTTCAGTTTCTGGTCTGGTTTTAAAGGAGCACGCTCGATATTAGTGAGCCACCGAGGAAGATTGCTCAGACTTGGCTTCAGTAAGCCGGTCGCGTTGACGTTGTGTCCGAGATACCTAAAGGAGTTAATCTCTGACACCATTGGGATCTTTGTGCCCCCGATTTCAAATTGGCTGTGCGACCGGCTAACCGAAGTGCCACGCACTCTCGTCGCGGACACCATCGAGGACTTCTTCGCGTTAAGCTGCATACCGCGAGCCGCGAAGAAGCTCTCAATCCTGTCTATGACGAGAGGCACGTTGGCTTCCAAGTCTTCAAGGACAACTATGTCATCGGCGAAGGCCATGGCGGATACCCTAACCTGAGGGGCAAGGGTTCCGCCAGTGGATCCACTGTTTAGGCGGCAGATCAACTCGTCGATGACATAGTTGAACAGTAGAGGGCTCAGAGGGTCCCCTTGTTTAACCCCCCTACTCACCCTGAGGTGACGCGTGCTGCCAGAGCCAGTCTTGATGGTGGTAGAGGAACTGGTCAAGGTGCCCCTAATGTAGGTTTGGGTCCCCGAATCCACTCCCATCCTGGCAAGGGCCCTGAGGACGGAGGAGAGACCGTGTCGAAGGCCTTCCTGACATCAAGTGCCAACACGTTGAAGCAGGCTCCTCTGCTCCTCCTGGAGCGGATGTAGTGGTCCAGGATGATCGTGTTGGCCATAGTACCATCCACGTCTGTGAAGCCTCTCTGATCCATGTTTAGAGAGGTGGCGATTTTGAGACGATGGGCCAAGACTCGGTGAAATAGACGTTGGATGGAGGAGCCAATCGTGATGGGTCTCCAGTTCCCTGGATCCCTAGGGTCCCCGTCTTTATGAATGAGGGTGGTCCTCATTTCATTGAATGACTGCAGTTGAATGTTCCTCATCAGAAGAATGGAAAACAGAATCGCCAGATCTTGATCTGCTGTTTTCTTCACCGTCATCACCTGCACCTCGTCGGTCCCTGGTGCTGATATGGACCAGTTAAGTTTTGCTCGGGCGACTTCTTCGGGCAATATCGGCTTGAAGGTGCAGGTGGATGTTTTTGGGTCGGTGATGACCTCGTCATCGGGGGGAGAAGCGCTCTCCAATATCCCCCCGAAGAGTTCCTCGACTGCCTGGACAGAGGGGAAGACGTCTGCGTCATCTAGGGACTTTCCTGCGAGTAGGCGGTCCACCAGTCCACTCTTGTTCTTATTGAACAGATCCTGAGCATTTTTATACAGGGCTGCTCTAGGATTGTTCCCTGTGGACTGCTTTCCGTAGTGCCTAGCTTTCTGTGTCCCTTTCCCTCTGCCCTTTGCCTGACAACCTGCGGCCGAGGGACGCGCCTTGGGGTTGCTCCCGGAACGCACCTCCACCGCTTGTGTGTCAGGTGGCACAGCGGCCCTCCTCCCAGGTCGAGTGGTCTTCCTCTTTTCGAAATTCTGGTTGATCCAGGTTTCGATAAAAGAGGATAGCTCTTGATCGCTGGCCTCCATGCCAGCATCTATCAGACCTACGAGATTGTCAGTTGAGCTCAGAGTCCCCTCATATAGTTGATCCTCGACCTCATCCTTTGACGAAAGGAGATATCTATAGAGGTCGGGATCGATGGTGGGTTCCTCTGGCTGCTCATCCATCGCCACCGCGGGGGGGCTGGTAGTGATTTCAATCACTTCTGGAGCAGCCAGTGGGGACTCACTCAACTGACGAACTTCTGGTGGTAGTGGGGAGGGATCTTGACCCGCTGTTGCCGAGTACTCGACTCGTGGTCTTCTTGGGGGCGCTTGTGCCCCCGGTGACGGGGTATCCTCTTGCCTCAAACGCTTTTTAGATGTTTGCGCCTTTTCGAAAGGATCATTCAGCGAGTCGTCGCTGTCGCTGGTGCTGCCCATGGTATCCTCCCGGTGGAGGGTCCTGGGATTTGAGAAGAGTGTATCCCGGGACTACTGGCTATGGGCAGCACTGCTGGGACCTCTATGGGGTCCAGGAAGCTCCTTGGTGTTCCATACACGGATTCGTCGAGTTCGTCGCCCCCCGTTCCAGGGGTAGTGGTGGCTGCTCTCTGTGCCACGGGGACAAGTTTTGTATTCCCCTTGGCTGAGGCAGTCGTGGCAGCTTGGGGCGGCAACTGGATAGAGGGAGAATTCACCGTGTTCCTCTTAGATGCCATGTTCGCAGATGCCGTCCGTATGGAAGCCCGTCGCGCACGTGCGAGATATTCCTTGTAAATAGTTTTATCCCGTTAATGGCGGATCTGGTGGCTAGTGAGGCCGGTGGCTTTTTCCATTTCCCTCACGAATGGTTTACCCTTTAAGGTAGAGACCTCTATGGTCGCAAGGATCTCGTACAGCTCATGTTCCGGCCTCGGCAGGCTATCTTCCATCTCCTTTGCATACAGATCTGGATGTGCTTTCTTTTCATGCTGCCTTACCCCCTGGAACGTGGGGAAGGTTCTCTCACAGAACTGACACTTAGATGTGTCACGTGTCCCGCATAGTTTCACATGCTTCTGCAGCCCCCCATTGGTCTCGCAACCGTGTCCGCACTTTGGACACCGGTGCGGATGCGGGTTTGCTTGGAGAGAGGTTGGAGTGGCAGAAAAACTTACCCTCCTTGGGTTCACTTTTGTTCCCTCTCTCCTTAGCAGGCCAGGGCCACTGGCGGTGTTGGTTGGGTCCTGGGTGGGTGTCGTCAGAGATGGCTGGACTCCCTTCTTGTTGTTGCCCGACATTTCCCTTTGTTGTGGTGTCCCGTGGTTGCTGGGACGTGTGGTCGTTGCCGCGATAACGCTCTGCACTTTCCACTAAATGCTTACAGAAAATGACAGAGTCACAAAAACGATTCACTTTCCATAAGTGTTCTGATAAAAAAAGGAGAGTTCTCGCAGCTACGAGAACTCTCCTTGATTTAAATATCCCGCGCGCGCTGGTAGTGGTACTACTGCTATGGCCGATGCCAAGATGGCCGCTGCCGGAAATACGTAGGTGACGCGAGACGATTCTACCACGCGGAGGCAAAATTTTAGGTTAACATCCACGTGGTGATTCCCGAAACCCGTATATCTCCGGCCGGGATGGAGATATAGCATTCCCGCTCGCACACACTGAAACCCACGGCGAACTAGAACACTCGGTATACCTAATGTTAATTTCCGATCAAAACTATGTATTTTATAGATGATTGTTCCGCGAGCAACGCGGACACGTCCTCTCGTCGCCACGGTGCTTGGCTTGCTAACGATGATTTGGTTAAGGATTGTCTAGATATCATTCCTTATGAAATTCCTTTTGTGAAAAGATATGTAGATGACTTGATTCTTTGTCTTCCAAATGGTTGGACTGATCAAACCCTGTTCTACTTCAACTCCTTCGACCTCAACTTACAGTTCACCAGTGAATCTGAAGTTGACAACATGCTACCCTTCTTAGACATGACTGTCATTAGAGCTAATGACAATGTCTTACGCACCAAATGGTACAGAAAACCCATGTGCAGTAATCGTTTCATGAGTTTCTACTCTTACCATACTATGAAAATGAAGTTAAATTTGATCAAGGCCTTGAAAGACATAGTGGTCAAGTTGACACATCCTTTGCACAGGCAAAATAGTTTGAATGAATTAAGGAACATATTACTTGAGAATTCTTATCCAATTAAAATAATCAATAAACATTTTGTTCAATTCAGAAATTAGAATCATAGAAAATAATGATAATAATCTTCCAAATTCACAAATTCTCCCAGTTGCTCCTCAAAATATAGAAATTCCTAAATATACATCACTTCCTTACATAGAAGATTCAACTCCTAAACTCGCTAACATTTTCAAAAATGAAAACTTCATAATTGCTAAAAAAACTATCAAAACAGTCTCCTCTCTTTTCTCCAAAACAAAATATCCTATGAATAAATTAGAAATGACTAATGTAGTATACATAATTCCTTGTCAGAATTGTGCATTGACTTCTATTGGCCAAACTTCCAGGAATTTATCAGGACGCATAATTTCACATAAGAGTGACAGTAAATGCAATAAAAGAACTTGTGCATTAGCAGAGCATGTTAATGATTAGGGTCACCATATGAATTTCAATGATGTCAAAATTTTAGCTCACGAAAATGATTATCTCAAACGAAATTTCCTTGAAATGGTTTTTATCAATAATGAACTTTCGGAAATGAATGAAAGAACAGACATTGGCAACTTGAGTAGCATTTATAATTATTTACTTGCAATAGAACAAAGAAATTGTATTCCTAATAACATATCTAGATTATCACAAACAATTCCTCAACCTTAATCTCTTGTCTCACCACCCAATTATTTTTCAAATTTACCGCCACGGTTCCCTTTCTTCTCTCACAACGGTCGTCGATCTGAAACGATATCCACCGAAGTAGTTGGCATTTTCGACTCTTCCAACCGTCCATTCTGTTTTCAAAGGTCCGTTACGGAAAAGAAATGAAACCTGCGGATTGTTTCCTATTGCTTTTTATCCTAAAATTATAAAATTAAAAAATGTTTTAATCGTCAAATTCAGCTGAAGATGCTGCTGTTATGTATTTCATTGTGTTTTACACCAATCTCACGTTAGTAAGTACTTTTTTTAAATGTATTATTGACAAAGTTTTTTCACTTACCCATTTTTTATAGATGTCTTGATAAAGGAAATAAACATTTCCGAAAGCTCGGCTATGTAACAAAGAGTCCTCTCATTAAGGCAAAAATTTTGACTGCAACCTCACCTAGAAAGATTTCCTGTGGAACTTTTTCTAAAGTTATTGTATTTTTATATACATATATATATATATATATCCTAAATTGCTTCGTTTTCGAGATACACGGAGTCAAATGTATCAGAAAAAAAGCGTTTTTTAATAATCACTCAATAGTTACTTGTTTTGCTAGGCAGAAGAGCCTATAGGCGTAGCTGAGGCTAGGGAACCAAATGCCAAAAGACATTGAATCTTCTTTTCTGTCATGTGAAACATACATTTTTTTTTCGAATTCCTTTCAATTCCACGCAAAATCCAAATATTATTCAGAACTCCATCATGTTTTGTTCACCCAGTCATTGTCAATTTTGATCACTAATTTGATTTATAATATTACTTTTGGAATATTGCATAGCAGCAATTTTTTAACAAGACTTGAGGCATTAAAGTGTATTTTTACCTTTCCTGCCTAATATGCAGTAGAAGTCCAACTTTTGTGCCTGTTGTGTCATTAAAAAGCCACTTTCAAGTAATTTGGAGAAAACACCATTTTTGCTGATTTTGATAAAACTTGTCAACCTCATCTGCAGTAGCAGATCAAGTGATTAACGTTTGAGACGTCTGGTAATGAAGAAAACACGTAAGTATCGAATAAAAAAAGTACACAATTCGGTCATTATTTGATTATCATATATTATCATCATATATAAGTGGCAAATTAAGTCAGATTTAGAATTGTGAGAACGAAAACTGAATTCAATTTTTAAGCTCCAAGTATAAATCTACAGTTTCATATGAATCAGAAAAGCGTGTAAAACCATTTTCCTCCATTTCTATAGAGCACAGATCATGAAAATCTTTATCACATGGCGTTTCGATAAATTTGCACTCAGATGAAAGAGTTTCAATCGCAAATGGAGGTATGGTGACTAGTTGATCATAAGCCCCATAAACACTGGGCATTTCATACATTATAGCAGGTCTTCCGGCTGGAGCAATGGCATTTCTGGTTTTCCGAATTCTGTGAACATTTTCCACTCCAAAGAGATCTGATCAAGATCGTCCTGAAAGAAATAGAGCGAAATAATGTGAAAATTCTTACAGATTATAGTTAGAGTTTAGCAAGAAGAACAAGAACAGTGTGTCATTTCTTCCAATTTACTCTTATGTGATTCGATTAATTATTATGTTACATATATTTTGGAAGATGAATAGTATCTATTCGAAAATGGAGATGGTACTTACTTTAGGATCGCTTGTAGTAAATCCTGCTTTGAGCCAGATTATGTGTCTGGAAAATCCATCTATGCAACCATTTATGCAGATGCCATAAGGCTTAAGTTTATCATATGAATCAACGTGCCATAAATAATTGGGTCCTTCACTGCGATATTGTCTTCGACGTAATCGTTTTTTTCGGCAGAATTCAACTCCCTCTGGATCGAGTAGCTTCAATATATCTCTAATAACATATTGTGTAACAACCAAATTATTTTGCAAGCAACGTAAATGCATCCACTTGTAACCGTGAAGTTGGCCTGATTTGCTTGATTCGCCTTCGATAAAATTCACAACATCTTCTATTTTTGTATAATTCTCACGTCTGAATAATCTTGCATGGGACAGCATCCTCTTCAAAGTTCGATAACACCTTCCCATGTAAAACTTTTACGAATTGTATGATTTCTTTTTGTTGAAATCCCATAGAAAAATATAGTGTGGCTAGCTCAATGGTACTTTGGTTCTGAAATAAGGATTTATATGCAATTCGATTTCATAATACTCTGAAATACTATTCATAATACACGAAATACTATTCATTTCGATTCAGGAGTACTCATTCTGGCGAATAATTTCAGAAGTTCTAGCTCAAAACAGGAAAGAACTTTCTTGCTGAAGCCTATTATGGTATTTTACTGATATTGCAGGCAGTGTCGGCATATTATCTCGTAATTCCGAGATAAAAGTCGGAATTCCGAGATAAAAGTCGGAATTCCGAGATAAAAGTCGGAATTCCGAGATAAAAGTCGGAATTCCGAGATTAAAGTCGGAATTCCGAGATTAAAGTCAGAATTCCGAGATTAAAGTCGGAATTCCGAGATTAAAGTCGGAATTCCGAGATTGAAGTCGGAATTCTGAGATTAAAGTCGGAATTCCGAGATTAAAGTCGGAATTCGGAGATTGAAGTCGGAATTCCGAGATTAAAGTCGGGATCATTAAAAAAATAAAATTTTAAAACAGTTTGGCCCTTCTGCGCTTCCGTAGAAATCAAACCACCTGGATCCATTTGATGGAGTATAATGAGCAATGAAGTTGAACGACTGGAAATAAAAATCATATCTGAATGGAAAAATCATCGAAAACAAAAAATAGGTCCAAAGATTCGAGGGAAAAATGGATAATGTCCAAATATATTGTCAAACAACTGGATTGTTAACTTGCAATCATCTGCTC